CAACTTACTGCGGTAGGTCTTGGGGACGTGGGCGACTGCCATGCAACCGAACACCCTCAGCATGTCCACCGGCGGCTTCCTCCCAAGCCACCTCTCCAACGGCACCCACGAGTCATCCCCAACCTTGGTGAGCACCTTGTTCCTAGCGACGGATAGTGGCGTTGCCGGACAGCATGAGGCCACATAGAATTGCTCAGCCCAGATTCTATGAGCAGCGCTCTAGCTGTCTCCAGAATGGTCCGGTTTGCCCGTTCTGCTACACCATTGGACTGTGGTTATAAGCCGTGGTCAGCTCTCTCTGGATGCCCTGCTTCTTGAGCCAGGCCGTCATTTCAGCTCCAAGGAACTCACCACCCTGGTCTGTCCTAATCCGCTCTCACAACACTCGCCTGCTTCTCCACGAATGGCAGCCAATCGTCCCGTATCGTGGAGGCGGCGTGGTCCTTCTGCTTCAGCGGATACGCCCACATCAGCCTGCTCCAGTCATCCACAATTGTGAGAGAAAATACCGCTCCCCCTTGTGCCCTTGCACCGGCAGCGGCCCCACCAAGTCCATGTGGACCAGCTCTAAAGGCTTCTTGCTCCTGCCAGCCACACTATGGAAAGGGAAACGGGTGAACTTTGAAAGCAAACAGATTTCACAGTTGTCATCGGGTGGCTGTCCGTTCAGCTTCAGACCCTTAACGGCTCCATCCTTCTCCAGCTGCTTCAGCAAAGGCATTGCCACATGCCCTAAGCGCCGTGTGTGTACGTGTTGCCCAATCTTTCCCCAGATCTGGCCGACACTTTCACACCAACCCCTCCAACGGCATTGCACTCCCCCTGGGATGCAGACCCCTCTCCAGCCTGCCCCCCCACCATGCCACGCCAGGGCCGGCAGCTGGCAACATAGATCTGTACACGTCCTTGCTCTCGTGCAGATCCCAAAGCACCCGATTGCCCAGCTTCCCCTTATAAGTGCGTGCCCCATCCGTGTTGGTGTTCACCCCAGCCTTGCCAAGCTTACGGAGGGAGATAAGGTTGGCCTTCAGGTCGGGGACGAAGAGAACGTCGTGCAGCACCACCGGCTTGCCATCCGCTCCTTTAAACGCAGTCGTCCATAACCAGCCACCTTCAACATGTGTCCAGAGGCGGAGGAGCAACTTCATTGATCGGTGCAGCTCGTACTTCGTCCAGCAGGTCCTTGCGCGGCGTCATCGTCCAAGCAGCGCCTGTGTCCAACACCCAATAGTCTAGGGGGTGCAGCTCTGCTCCAACTTTGGCAGAGGCGTCTCCTTGCTCCCCCTGTCTCCCACATGGAAGAATTGGCCCGCGGTGCGCTCCTTCTTCTCCGCACCGCCGTTGCCCTTCGGGTTGTTGTCGGACGAATCAGAGAAATGTTGGGCCGTGTTTTCTGGTTCCCTCCGCGCGCCGCCATCTGGTGACGATTTGGGGGGTACATCATCGGTTTTCTTATAGCACAAAAAAAACCAGGGTTGCCCTTCCTTCTCACAATACCAGCAACTCCCTTTCATTTTGCCACCAGCACCCGACTTGCCCCCACGTCCAGATTTCGCACCGCGACCCCAACCGGTACCTCCTTGTTGGCGTTGGGAGTCGTCGTCTTTCTTTGCACCGCGTCCAGCACCACCGAAGCCACGTCCTCTGCCACGTCGGCTCCCTTGCATCCCGTAGCCGCTGCTGCCGTCGTCTCCACCCCTCAGTTGGCGGCGACGGAAGTCCTCCTCCAGAATCTTCGTCCGCACCCACTCGAGCGTCCACAAGCTCTGGTTCTGCGGCAGGCTCAATCCGCTCGTAAATTGAAGCCACGATTCCGGCAGCAGCGAGAGCATCTTCAAGCACTTGGTCTGCTCTGGGTAGGTGATTCCCGCGGTCGCCAACTTCGCGTAGAGGTCGCGCATCTTGTCCAGGACTGGTTGCACCGGCTCTCCCTCGCTCAGGCGCAACGCGGACAGCTCCCTCTCCAGCATCAACGTTGCGACAACGGAGGTCGGGGCGTGCAGCTCCTTCAACACGGTCCACGCCTTCGGACCGCATTCAACCTCCGGCAGCAGGTGCATGACGTGGTGACGCTGGTTCAGCTCCAAACTCTGCGACATCAAATAGTAGCCAGCCGAGGAGCGCTCGTCCCAATCTTCCTGCAGCGTGGGGTCACTCGGTCTAGGCTCCTCCCCAATCATTAGTTTCAGCAAACCGATCTGACGGAAATATAATTGCATTTTCCAGGCCCAATCATCATAGCCCTCACCATTGAACTTCTCGACGGTGAAATTCTTCAGCACCTCCTTGACAAGCGAGCCCTGGTTTGTTCGCGCTCCCCTTGGCGCTGAAAGACCAGAATCTTGGCTGCCGCTACGATCTTGGGCTGAAGATTCACCAGCTCCCGCCGAGGTGTTGCCCGCCATAGCTACCTATAACGAGGATCACTATAACGCAGCTCTGATACCAGCTTGTTGGTGTAAGGGCCTAATAAACTCAAGCTATTAGGACTTAATCAAACTTAAAACCTCTCCTCGGGGTCACCTCCAAGGGTCCCTGGGTGCCTGGTACAAGACCAGCCCCTATCCTCGGGTCCGAGTTTGTAGAGAGAGGGATCAAGAAGGACTTAGTCAAAACAGCAAGAGTACCTTGAACGTCGCGCAGCGTGCCGTGCAGACCGTCGGTCGGATTAAGCTGAGAATTCGCTATATCGAAGCTCGCTCCAAGAGCTTTAAAATGAGCCAAGTTGCCTCGCGAAAAGTTCTGCCATTACTAAGTTATGGCTCAGACGGTGTTTGCCTAGCATTAGAGTGCTAGCGTACTAGCGTTGACTCGGGTAGCATTCCGCCAACGAACCGCGTAGAAACGAAATTCCAGCGAGGAAGGAATTCACATGAATCAATTTGACTATATTCAGGTACAAACAGAGAAGGATTAAATAGTTCTAGCTAGCAAGGACCTTGGGAATCAACCTGGGAACAACCAGGGATGATCCCAAATAATTCCAAGCAACAGAACCAACCTGGCTGGACAAAATAGCAGGTGGTAGGTTGGTAAACAACCTCTGGTTCTGTTTTTCCAACCTGGGAAAACAACAACCAGGTTCAGGTTCTAAAAACAGAACCTGTTTTGTCTTTGCCCAACCAGCCAAATGCTGGTTCCGCTGGTTTCCCCTGGCCTTGTAGCATGCAGATACAGACAAACAACATCCAACCTTCACCTAAATTGTACCCCTATAGTGCCTTCCCTGCTACACTATAGTTAACCAAACAAAACAGTACAATTTCGAGTTGGATAGAACTGAATCTGCGCAATCAACTCAACCGAACTGCAAAGCTTCCATCTTGGGTTCCTTTGCGAGCTCGTCCTTTCTGCTTGCACTGTTCATAGCGCGTACAATGTTGTGCCGAAGCGCACATTGCGCGAGTACCTGCAAATGCATCAAGCGAAAATTGCGAAAACAAACAAACACACGAACACACCATTCACACGCAAATGCATTCGCACACGCATACTCGTACAAACAGACGGCAGGATGTCGTGCAATGTGCATTTGCACCCAACAGAACATTGGTACAACTGGTGGTCACGTCTAGTCATTGCCAGGTGTTTCATCAGGTGTTGAGACAGGTGCCTGATTCCGTGCCTCGTGGATCCCCCATCAGGTGCCTACTTCGGTTCTGATTGAGTGTCATGATTCAACTTTTAGCGTCTCAGATCCCCCATTGGTTGACATCTCCATTGGCAAAAATCCATGTGTCTACTACAGCCTCTCCAAGCACATTGGTTGAGACCTATCCGCCACTGTTTCCTTCATTTGTGGCCCGCTTGAAGCGCTTTTGAGGGCGTTTCGAAGCCTGCACCATGCACATTTACTTCCACCACTACTTCGGTTTGCGAGTTCAAGGCAAGCTCTGGGTGTACACGGCTATGCGCAGCATGGTCAGCACAAGACAGAGCACGTTCCGTTGCAGTAATCCCCTTTCCATGATGGCTTTCTCCCTTATTCCACCTCCCACATACCCTCTCTTCTAACCGTCCTCCCTTCCACCTCCTCCCATATGCACCCCTCCTAACCCCTACCACTCCCCCCCAACCCCTCCTCCCCTGACCCCACGACAGAGAAAGCCATCAGGAGGGCCGTTCAGAGTGGGCGGGTTTGAGCGCACGGCATTCCACGGCTGGTTTGGGCTGCTGCTGGCCGTGCAGCGACAACCAGTGGTGGTGCATGTGCAGGCCACCGCCCCCTCCTTCCTTAACTATGATGGGGTGAGTGCACGCGCACACACATACACACACGCATGCACGCACGCTTGCACACGCACACACACACACACACACACACACAAACACACACACACACACACACACACACACACATACACACACATACACACACACACACATACACAGATACATCCCATGCACACACACACTCACACACATGCGTACACACACACTCACAAGCATACACACACACACACGCACACACACACACACGCACACACACACGCACACACACACGCACACACACACACACACACACACATACACATGTACACACTCACACCCATTGTGCTTCTCCTGAGATGTCAACCATGTGGACCCTCAATTAATTCCATACCCAAGCACCCCTCATCTCCTCCACACACACGCATGCACACGCGCTCACGTACACACGCACACACACAGGTACACACACACGCATACACACGCACGCACGGACGCACACACGCACGCACACATGCACGCACACACGCACACCCATGCAGACATGCATGCACACACGCACACGTACGCACTCACACACATGCACACACACACACACGTGCGCGCACACTCGCACACGCACACATGCACACATACGCACACATACGCACACATACGCATGCACACAAACGCACGCACACACACGCACACACACACGTGCGCGCACACCCGCGCACGCACACACACATGCACACACATGCACACACGGCGCACACACTCTCACCCCTTGTGCTTCTCCTGCAGCGTCAACCATGTGGCCCCTCATTTCATTCCATACCCAAGCACCCCTCATCTCCTCCACGCACACGCGTGCACACGTGCTCACGCACACACGCACACACACACGTACACACACACGCACACACACACGCACACACACACACGCATGCACGGACGCACACACGCACGCACACATGCATGCACACACGCACACCCATGCAGACACGCATGCACACACGCACACGCACGCACTCACACACACGCACACACACACACACGTGCGCGCACACTCGCACACGCACACACGCACATACGCACACATACGCACGCACACACACGCACGCACACACACGCACACACACACACACACACACACGTGCGTGCACACCCGCGCACGCACACACACATGCACACACACGCACACACAGTGCACACACTCTCACCCCTTGTGCTTCTCCTGCAACGTCAACCATGTGGCCCCTCATTTCATTCCATACCCATGCACCCCACATCCCACGCCCCCCCTCACGCCCCCTCACCCCCAGCTATCCAAGTACGCGGACCCTTCCTGCTTCTCGTACAACCTGAACCACGTGGTGCTGCTGGTGGGGTATCGCCTCACCGGCTCAGATCCGACCTTCCCGCACATGGCGCCGCCCTTCTGGATCATCCGCAACTCATGGGGCCCGGAGTGGGGCGACGGCGGGCACATGCGGATGGACATCCAGGGGGGCGACGGCGTGTGTGGGATCAACACGCTGCCTGGGATCTACCCGGTGGTGCGCGCTGCCAGGGACCCCTGCAACGTCAACGGCACCAGCAGTGGGGTGTTTGGGCCGCTCTTCAATCCCTGTGGCAACTTCACGTGCACGCCCACATCTGATGGGGCCAGCAACCGGTGTGATTGCAACGACCCGCGATTCGTGGAGGCACTTCAACCGGACAACTCGCGCACCTGTGCTTACAGTGAGCTCTCCCCTGTGCTTACAGTGAGCTCTCTCCCCCGTGCTTACAGTTTGCGATCTCTCCTGCACTTCCTCGTGTGATGCTGTCATGTCTCAGAGCACATGCAAGTTGTGCCCTTGTCACTGAGAAGAGATCATGACCGAGTTTCATGTCTTTCATCTCTTGCCTTGATCCTCAGAGGATGCGTGCAGGACAGCATTGCACAATCCATGTGCGGTGGGCACGTGTGTGAATGATGGCAAGGGGTCGTTCTCCTGTGTGTGCCCTCCGAGCTTCAGGCAGGGCACCACCGTTGATGGCACCTTCTCCTGTGGTCTAGGTAACCTTCTCCTGTGCTTCAGGTAACCTTCTCCTGTGCTCCAGGTAACCTTCTCCTGTGCTCAAGCAGGTAACCTTCCTCTCTTGCGCTCCAGATGCCTCTCATTCTGAAATCCACTTGTTCCCACTCTTCTTTTTCACGTAACCCCGCTACAAAGCGTACTGATAGACAATGCACCATCACACATTGCAATGCTGGCTCTTCAACCTACCATCATTACCATCACTTCCTATTCACCTGCATATCCTCCCATCATGCCCAACAACTGCACCCATTCCCTTCTACACCGATCCTTCCGCATCACTGCATCTGCACCGCTCATCAATTTGCACCACTCTGCACCGCACTGCACAGGCGATTCCAGCAGCACATATACGGTGGTGTCGTGGGGTGTCACGTGTGCCGACATCCACCCCGTCTACGGCCTCACTCTTGCTCAGCTCCAATAACAGAACCCCGTGAGCCCACCTGCAAGCCCACAAACCCGTGAGCATCGTGGTAGACCCTTGCTTTCCTTCTGCTTGAGGCTCTTCTTTCCGTTCCCAAAAGGATCTGGACACAATCTCCCCGTCGCCTCACCCACCAACCTCACATTGCTCCTCCATCCCATCCCGCCCTATCTGCCCACCCCCGGTCCCCTCCAGGGTCTGAGCTGCAGCACTCCTCTCGTGGTCGGAACGGTGGTGAACGTGGTCCAGCCACCCGACCTCACGCCCTGCTCCGTCTACTACACCACGTCCCAGGTCCGCACCCTCCACCCTCTCCCTGCCTGCCTGCCTGCCTGCCTGCCCGCCTCCCGCCCTCACCCCCTCCCTCCCTCCTTCCTCCTTCCTTGCCTCAATCCACCCTCCCTCTTTTTTACCTTTCCTGCCCGACTTTGTTGGAGGAGCATTGGGATCGGCCTAAGGTCTTGAGTAAGGGTCACAGGCAAGGATAGCCTTGGGGTTATGGGTACAACCCTCTATGGAACAAGCTTGTTAGGCTTCGTGGTTAGCAACTAAGCTTTACCAACAAGGTATCAGAGAAAGGGTTTCTGTGTTCGAATCCTAGTGTGCAGCATGGAAGGTGCATGGAAGACCCAAGTCAATTAGGGGGGATGTTGGAAGAATATTGTGGTCCTATGAGCACGGTAGAACCTATGTTCAACCGCAATTGAACATGCCCTTTTAGCCCATTACTTTGCTACCCCCCTCCGTCCATTTTCCCTCTCTCTCTTCTTTGACCTCGCTCTTGCTGCTGTGTCTTAAACCCTATCTGCATCCCCTCACTCCCAGCACCTTTCTATCCCAAATCTCTGCTCCTCACTTCCCCTTACCTTCTCCCAATCCTCACATCTCTGCTCTCCCTACCCCTTGCCCAGTTACCTCCTACCCTTCCTGCCCTCCCTGCTCTCCTATCGTTCTCCCATCTGGGTGCACGTGTGCATCACTGGAAGCTTACATCCCTCGCTCTCCACAGCCTGCCTGCCCCAACCAAGATCCCACCACTGAGACCACCTTGACCCCCATCCCTGCACAGCAGCTTTCCAGGCTCTCAACCTTTTTGAGAATTCTCAAAAGTGACTCTCAACCCTGGTCTGCCTTTCCACTTGTTCCCCTCTCCTCGCCTCTTTCCATCCTTCTCTTTCATCCTTCTCTCTCATCTTCCACACTCCCTCCCATTCTCCCCACCTCTCCTTTTCTCGCCCCCATCCCCCCAGGGTGACACATGTGAGTCGCTAGCCACCTACTTCTCCCTCACCGTTGGCTGCCCAACTCCCACCGAGCCCTGTGCAGCAGCCTTCCAGGCGCTCAACCCCGGGCTGGACTGCTCCAGCAGCAGCGGCGAGCTGCCGGGCAGCCAGGCGGTGTGTGTGGAGCGGCGGGCGGAGAGCGCAGCGGCGCTGCTCATCCCGGTGTGCTCGCAGTTCTATCTGGTGCAGGCCGGGGAGACGTGCGACCAGATCCGCTCCGTGCCCTCCCCGCCGCTCTCCCCAATTGACTTCTTCCGCCTCAATCCCGGCATCAAGTGCAGCCGCCTCGTGCCCAAGACTGACGTTGGCAACCTCACACTTCGAGGTCTGGTCTCCTCTTTGTCCACACTACCCTCTCGCTTCTCCTCAACTCGCCTGCATTCTCTCCTCCCATTACGCGGCCCTCTTTCCTCATTCTACCTCACACACCATGTACTCTCCCCTTGCGCCTCATTTTCACAGTTCCTACTGATTACCCCTGTGGTTCCTACCTAATTTCATCAACCAGTCATTCCAGTTCCGAACAATTCCACTGGGTTCATGGGTTGCTTCTGCCTCAACGTCTGGTGCACGATGCACTTTGTACCTGCAGATCACACTGCTTAACACACTTTTAGTCCACACCTGCAGTTCACACCTGCCTCTCTCACCCCCTCTACTCCCACTCTCCACCCTCTCCCCACTCCCCCCTACTCATACCTGATTCACACGGCAAGTGCAGGCGCGCATAGGCAGCTCGTTCAGCTTCATGCAAGGAGTGTGCCCCAAGTCTCGCGCGTACGTGGTTGGGACTGGCGATCGTTGCACTGGCCTGCAGGTCAAGTACTTCCGTGGAATCAAAGGGTGTTACAAGTGGAATAATGGGTACGACTGCATCGATACGCTCGTCAAAGCGACCAGAGTGTGCATTCCGGACCAAGAGAAGATCAAAGCCAGAAAATGCTCGCCTTGATACCTTATTCTCCCAGACAACCCCCCCCGATTGAGCATCCCCGGGTAGTTTGTGCGGGGTGGGTGCTATGGGCGACCTCGTTTCTACTATACCCCCCTTTTTGTATGATTTTTTATAATACCCCTCTTTTCTTACAAATTTTTTATTATCGTCATCGCCCGGATATAAGTCATATATGTCTTATCCTGTACACTAAAAAAAAAGCTTGGGTTATCTTGTATTTGGGGAGGTTTTGGGTGTCTTATAAGTATTAAAAATGGAAACTTTTTTAAGCTACTTAGAAATATTTTCACACATCTTGAAAAGAGTTTCTCATTATGAGTGTGGATGTTGCGAAAGTGCCACTTCGGCAACCATTGTTCGAGACGCCACGTCATGGAGAATACTTGCAGAGGCAAATTCAGTAGTACGTGAGTCAGCACGTGGCAGAATTTGCGTTTTGCAAGGGTAAAAATGTACACGATGTTTCAATTTTCACTATAATTTATTTGCACTATTATAAGACACATATGCCTCATCTCGTACGCACAATTAGGTGTCTTATAATGAGGCTAGCCTGTTTATAAGAGACACCCGGATAATAGACAACCCCTATCTCCTATTCAACACTGTCTTATATCCGAGCGGTGTCAGATTATATGTGTTATATATGTGTAGACTGTAGTAGGGTAGCCAATATGGGGTATAGCCCCTTTAGGGTTTCATATTTATAGCCAACTTTGACCTAGTTCATTCATTCGTGCCTGATAGATTCTGATATGGTTTCAAAGCAGTAGGTCCGTAGGACCGTTTTTTTTTTTTTTTTTTTTGAGCAGCCAGATCCGTCACACCAAGCCTTTCCAGCGTGATCTAGAGAAGGGATCAAAGGCATGGGCTGCTCTCAAGGGTGTACACGCTCCTGCAACAGCGGCGGTAGCTGTGGTGTTGGAACGGCAAATGGCGACGCTACGAATTGAAGAAGATGAACCCGTGGAAGAAGGGGTGCAGAAATTCTTCGACTTGTTGACGCGGTTTGCGGGAGCTGATTTGAACTACAGTGAGCTCCAGAAGAAGACCAAGTTGCTGGCCCTACTCCCAGGAGTCATGGTCCCCGCTCATCATCAATTTGAACCGCAATCTGCCCCGTCTCTCGGTTGAAGACGTGAAATGCGCGATCCTACAAGAGGACTTCCGCCGCCGTGAGTTGGCGAGTGCAGATGGCGCTGGGGCAGCGAGCGTCGGCCGAGGGTACGGCCGAGGAAGAGGCAGAGGACGAGGGGGAGGAAGATTTGGTGGCAGCAACTTCAGTGGAGGTCGCGGAAGCGGCGGTTACGCCAACGACGGATAGAGCTACGGTCGCGGCCGCGGACGATTTGATGGCGTGTGTCATTATAGTCACAAGAACGGACATATGTGGCGCGATTGCTACAAGCTCCCTGAAGATTAGACCCCTGCTCAAGGCGAAGAGGTAGAGGAGCAGGATGAGGCAGAGGATGAGGCCGTTGAGGCAGTGACGGTCATGAAGAGTGGAGATAAAAACAACGACCCGGGCGACGATCGCTACCCGGGCCTTTTCTACTTTGTGTCGACGCAAGTACCGGCTGGTCCAGAAAAGGAGGAAGGCTTTGAGGAGCCAGCAGCAGTAGGGAATGTGACCCTACACCCCTGGATTATTGGGTGATTGACAGCGCGCTACCTATGGCATGACACCTCGCCCCGACTTGCTCACCGAACTCGAGCCGTCACCGGTGAAGCATGCCACATCTGCTTTGGGGCAGCGCAGTTCAGTTGAGTTGATTGCGCAGATTCAGTTCTATCCAACTCGAAATTGTACTGTTTTGTTTGGTTAACTATAGTGTAGCAGGGAAGGCACTATAGGGGTACAATTTAGGTGAAGGTTGGATGTTGTTTGTCTGTATCTGCATACTACAAGGCCAGGGGAAACCAGCGGAACCAGCATTTGGCTGGTTGGGCAAAGACAAAACAGGTTCTGTTTTTAGAACCTGAACCTGGTTGTTGTTTTCCCAGGTTGGAAAAACAGAACCAGAGGTTGTTTACCAACCTACCACCTGCTATTTTGTCCAGCCTGGTTGGTTCTGTTGCTTGGAATTATTTGGGATCATCCCTGGTTGTTCCCAGGTTGATTCCCAAGGTCCTTGCTAGCTAGAACTATTTAATCCTTCTCTGTTTGTACCTGAATATAGTCAAATTGATTCATGTGAATTCCTTCCTCGCTGGAATTTCGTTTCTGCGCTATTCGACGGCGGAATGCTACCCGAGTCAACGCTAGTATGCTAGCACTCCAACGCTAGGCAAACGCTGTCCGAGCCATAACTTAGTAATGGCAGAACTTTTCGCGAGGCAACTTGGCTCATTTTAAAGCTCTTGGAGCGAGCTTCGTTATAGCGAATTCTCAGCTTAATCCGATCGACGGTCTGCACGGCACGCTGCGCGACGTTCAAGGTACTCTTGCTGTTTTGACTAAGTCCTTCTTGATCCCTCTCTACAAACTCGGACCCGGGGATAGGGGCTGGTCTTGTACCAGGCACCCAGGGACCCTTGGAGGTGACCCCGAGGAGAGGTTTTAAGTTTGATTAAGTCCTAATAGCTTGAGTTTATTAGGCCCTTACACCAACAAGCTGGTATCAGAGCTGCGTTATAGTGATCCTCGTTATAGGTAGCTATGGCGGGCAACACCTCGGCGGGAGCTGGTGAATCTTCAGCCCAAGATCGTAGCGGCAGCCAAGATTCTGGTCTTTCAGCGCCAAGGGGAGCGCGAACAAACCAGGGCTCGCTTGTCAAGGAGGTGCTGAAGAATTTCACCGTCGAGAAGTTCAATGGTGAGGGCTATGATGATTGGGCCTGGAAAATGCAATTATATTTCCGTCAGATCGGTTTGCTGAAACTAATGATTGGGGAGGAGCCTAGACCGAGTGACCCCACGCTGCAGGAAGATTGGGACGAGCGCTCCTCGGCTGGCTACTATTTGATGTCGCAGAGTTTGGAGCTGAACCAGCGTCACCACGTCATGCACCTGCTGCCGGAGGTTGAATGCGGTCCGAAGGCGTGGACCGTGTTGAAGGAGCTGCACGCCCCGACCTCCGTTGTCGCAACGTTGATGCTGGAGAGGGAGCTATCCGCGTTGCCCGTGAGCGAGGGAGAGCCGGTGCAACCAGTCCTGGACAAGATGCGCGACCTCTACGCGAAGTTGGCGACCGCGGGAATCACCTACCCGGAGCAGACCAAGTGCTTGAAGATGCTCTCGCTGCTGCCAGAATCGTGGCTTCAATTTACGAGCGGATTGAGCCTGCCGCAGAACCAGAGCTTGTGGACGCTCGAGTGGGTGCGGACGAAGATTCTGGAGGAGGACTTCCGTCGCCGCCAACTGAGGGGTGGAGACGACGGCAGCAGCGGCTACGGGATGCAAGGGAGCCGACGTGGCAGAGGACGTGGCTTCGGTGGTGCTGGACGCGGTGCAAAGAAAGACGACGACTCCAACGACCAACAAGGAGGTACCGGTTGGGGTCGCGGTGCGAAATCTGGACGTGGGGGCAAGTCGGGTGCTGGTGGCAAAATGAAAGGGAGTTGCTGGTATTGTGAGAAGGAAGGGCACCCCTGGTTTTTGTGCTATAAGAAACCCGATGGATGGACCCCCCAGAATCGTCACCAGGATGGCGGCGCGCGGAGGAACCAGAAAAACGGCGCCAACATGGTCGCTGATTCGTCCGACAACAACCCGAAGGGCAACGGCGGTGCGGAGAAGAAGAAGGAGCGCACCGCGGGCCAATTCTTCCATGTGGGAGACAAGGGGGAGCAAGGAGACGCCTCTGCCAAAGTTGGAGCAGAGCTGCACCCCCTAGACTATTGGGTGTTGGACACAGGCGCTGCTTGGACGATGACGCCGCGCAAGGACCTGCTGGACGAAGTACGAGCTGCACCGATCAATGAAGTGTGCTCCGCCTCTGGACACATGTTGAAGGTGGCTGGTGCGGGACGAGCTGCGTTTAAGGGAGCGGATGGCAAGCCGGTGGTGCTGCACGACGTTCTCTTCGTCCCCGACCTGAAGGCCAACCTTATCTCCCTCCGTAAGCTTGGCAAGGCTGGGGTGAACACCAACACGGATGGGGCACGCACTTATAAGGGGAAGCTGGGCAATCGGGTGCTTTGGGATCTGCACGAGAGCAAGGACGTGTACAGATCTATGTGGCAGCTGCCGGCCCTGGCGTGGCATGGTGGGGGGCAAGCTAGAGAGGGGTCTGCATCCCAGGGGGAGTGCAATGCCGTTGGAGGGGTTGGTGTGAAAGTGTCGGCCAGATCTGGGGAGACAGATTGGGCAACGGCACACCGGCGCTTAGGGCATGTGGCAATGCCTTTGCTGAAGCAGCTGGAGAAGGATGGAGCCGTTAAGGGTCTGAAGCTGAACGGACAGCCACCCGATGACAACTGTGAAATCTGTTTGCTTTCAAAGTTCACCCGTTTCCCTTTCCATAGTGTGGCTGGCAGGAGCAAGAAGCCTTTGGAGCTGGTCCACATGGACTTGGTGGGGCCGCTGCCGGTGCAAGGGCACAAGGGGGAGCGGTATTTTCTTACAATTGTGGATGACTGGAGCAGGCTGATGTGGGCGTATCCGCTGAAGCAGAAGGACCACGCCGCCTCCACGATACGGGACGATTGGCTGCCATTCGTGGAGAAGCAGGCGGAGTGTGTAGTGAAGCGGATTAGGACAGACCGGGGTGGTGAGTTCCTTGGAGCTGAAATGACGGCCTGGCTCAAGAAGCAGGGCATCCAGAGAGAGCTGACCACGGCTTATACCCCACAGTCCAATGGTGTAGCAGAACGGGCAAACCGGACCATTCTGGAGACAGCTAGGGCGCTGCTCATAGAATCTGGGCTGAGCAATTCTATGTGGCCTCATGCTGTCCGGCACGCCACTGTCGCTAGGAACAGGGTGCTCACCAAGGTTGGGGATGACTCGTGGGTGCCGTTGGAGAGGTGGTTGGGAGGAAGCCGCCGGTGGACATGCTGAGGGTGTTCGGTTGCATGGCAGTCGCCCACGTCCCCAAGACCTACCGCAGTAAGTTGGGGGCGAGTGCAATCTGGTGTGTGCATTTGGGGCTGGCTGCTGAGAGCAAGGGATGGCTGCTGTGGGAACCATCCAAGGGTGTGTTGTTTGACAGCAGGGATGTGAAATTCATTGAGGGCATGATGTATGGGAGCTGGGAGAAACAGCCGGAGGCAAGGGTGTCCCAGCAGATGGAGCAGATCACCATGCAGCTGGACCTGACTCCTAGTGTGTGGGAGGAGGGAGAGGAGGCAGCTGCTGGAAATGGTGATGGAGAGAAGGTACAGGAGGCATCTGCTGGTGGAGAAAATGGTGTGGAAACTGGCGGCAGCACTAGTGGAGCTGCTGGACCCGAGGGAGGAGGAAGCAGCAGCAGGAAAAACTAAGAAGCCGAAGGGTGTCGTTATGAAGGGATGGGAGACACCCGTCTCCAGGCCAGGACGTACCCGTATGGCTACTAAGAAGCTGATTGCAGGAACTGATGCAGCAGAGCAGCAGCTAGGGACCGAAGAGGCATTGCTGATTCTACCTCATGGCTATGACCCGGATGAGGAGGATGAGCCTGCGTACTGTTTTCTTGCCCCTGCACCAGAGGAACCAGCTAGCATGGAAGAGGCATTAGCTGGACCAGATAGGGACAAGTGGCTGGCTTCTAGGGATGCTGAGTACCAGAGTCTGCTGGAGAATAGGACATGGGATCTGGTGGTGCTGCCTGATGGAAAGAAAGCGATACAATGCAAGTGGGTGCTGAGGATCAAGACCGATGACAAGGGGCAGGTCACCATCTACAAGAGTAGGCTGGTGGCGAAGGGGTTTATGCAGAAGGAGAAGCAGGACTTCAACGAAATCTTTGCTCCCACTGCCAAACCCCCTACCCTCCGTGTCTTGTTGGCAGATGCAGCTGTTAGTGGGAAATTCATCATTCAGATGGATATTTCAACGGCATTCCTGAATGGGATTTTAGAGGAGGATGTGTACATGACGCAGCCGCCTGGGTATGAGGATGGTACGGGCAGGGTGTGCAAGCTCAACAAGTCCATCTACGGCTTGAAGCAGGCGCCACGCTGCTGGTACCAGAAGTTGGCAGCTGTTTTAGAGGAGATGGGATTCAGGACCAGCAGCTGTGATGAGAGCCTCTTTCTCAAGGGCGAGGGGGAGAAGCTGGTGCTGTTTCTGGTCTATGTGGACGACATTCTTCACCAGGAGAAGCTGCACCAGGAGAAGTTCATCAAGGAGCTGGGGAAGAAGTATGGGATTGAGAATGAGCGCAAGGTTGCAACTCCCCTGCCAGCAGAATTCAAGCTTGTGAAGGCTGCAGAGGATGAAGGGGTTGAAGCTGAAGAGCAGCAGCAATTTCAGTCCTTGGTGGGCAGCCTCTTGTACGCAGCAGTTCACACGAGGCCCGACATCTCTTTCTCGGTTGGGCAGCTGGCTAGGGTGGTGCAGAATCCATCAGAGGAGCAGGTGGATGCAGCTGAGCGTGTGGTGAAGTACCTGAACTCTCACCCAAGCATTGGAGTTCAATACTCCGCATCTGCACAGGTGAAGCAGAAAAGAAAGGGGGGAGGTGCTGAAAGAGAAGGGGGAGAGGCTTGGAGAAGGCAAGCTATTTCTCACTTGCTTTACCGATGCTACATGGGCTTCTGAGAAGGAGGATTCCTCATCTGTGGGAGGATACATCTGCGTAGTTGGGGGAGGACCTGTTAGTTGGAGGTCCAAGAAGCAGACGGAGACGGCACTCTCTTCCGTAGAATCAGAGTACATGGCGATGTTCCATGGGGTGAAGGAGGTGATTTGGCTGAGGAGGCTGTTAGAGGAGATTGGCCAGGAGCAGAAAGTTGCTACGCCGCTGTTTTGTGATAGCAAGGGGGCTCTTGGAATGGCCAGGAACGCTGTGCTTCATGGCCTGAACAAGCACATGCGTATCAAGTGGCACTGGCTGCGTAAGGAGGTGAAGAGGGGGACGGTGAATCCAATCTACATCAAGACTCACCAGCAGCCAGCAGACTTTCTCACCAAGAGGCTTGCGGATGAGCCTTATTGGCGTTGTGTGCGCATGAGTGGAATGAGCATGAACTAGCATGGAATGACGGGGATGCAGCCGGCAGGCTGAGGGAGTGTTTGGGTGCAAATGCACATTGCACGACATCCTGCCGTCTGTTTGTACGAGTATGCGTGTGCGAATGCATTTGCGTGTGAATGGTGTGTTCGTGTGTTTGTTTGCTTTCGCATTTTTCGCTTGATGCATTTGCAGGTACTCGCGCATGTGCGCTTCGGCACAACATTGTATGCGCTATGAACAGTGCAAGCAGGAAGGACGAGCTCGCAAAGGAACCCAAGATGGAAGCTTTGCAGTTCGATTGAGTTGATTGCGCAGATTCAGTTCTATCCAACTCGAAATTGTACTGTTTTGTTTGGTTAACTATAGTGTAGCAGGGAAGGCACTATAGTGTTGGTGTAAGGGCCTAATAAACTCAAGCTATTAGGACTTAATCAAACTTAAAACCTCTCCTCGGGGTCACCTCCAAGGGTCCCTGGGTGCCTGGTACAAGACCAGCCCCTATCCTCGGGTCCGAGTTTGTAGAGAGAGGGATCAAGAAGGACTTAGTCAAAACAGCAAGAGTACCTTGAACGTCGCGCAGCGTGCCGTGCAGACCGTCGATCGGATTAAGCTGAAAATTCGCTATATCGAAGCTCGCTCCAAGAGCTTTAAAATGAGCCAAGTTGCCTCGCGAAAAGTTCTGCCATTACTAAGTTCTGGCTCGGACAGCGTTTGCCTAGCGTTGGAGTGCTAGCATACTAGCGTTGACTCGGGTAGCATTCCGCCGTCGAATAGCGCAGAAACGAAATTCCAGCGAGGAAGGAATTCGCTTGAATCAAATTGACTATATTCAGGTACAAACAGAGAAGGATTAAATAGTTCTAGCTAGCAAGGACCTTGGGAATCAACCTGGGAACAACCAGGAATGATCCCAAATAATTCCAAGCAACAGAACCAACCTGGCTGGACAAAATAGCAGGTGGTAGGTTGGTAAACAACCTCTGGTTCTGTTTTTCCAACCTGGGAAAACAACAATCAGGTTCAGGTTCTAAAAACAGAACCTGTTTTGTCTTTGCCCAACCAGCCAAATGCTGGTTCCGCTGGTTTCCCCTGGCCTTGTAGCATGCAGATACAGACAAACAACATCCAACCTTCACCTAAATTGTACCCCTATAGTGCCTTCCCTGCTACACTATAGTTAACCAAACAAAACAGTACAATTCCGAGTTGGATAGAACTGAATCTGCGCAATCAACTCAACCGAACTGCAAAGCTTCCATCTTGGGTTCCTTTGCGAGCTCGTCCTTTCTGCTTGCACTGTTCATAGCGCGTACAATGTTGTGCCGAAGCGCACATTGCGCGAGTACCTGCAAATGCATCAAGCGAAAATTGCGAAAGCAAACAAACACACGAACACACCATTCACACGCAAATGCATTCGCACACGCATACTCGTACAAACAGACGGCAGGATGTCGTGCAATGTGAATTTGCACCCAACACACTCCCCCTCAGCCTGCCGGCTGCATCCCCATCATTCCATGCTAGTTCATGCTCATTCCACTCATGCGCACACAACGCCAATGAGGCTCATCCGCAAGCCTCTTGGTGAGAAAGTCTGCTGGCTGCTGGTGAGTCTTGATGTAGATTGGATTCACCGTCCCCCTCTTCACCTCCTTACGCAGCCAGTGCCACTTGATACGCATGTGCTTGTTCAGCCCATGAAGCACAGCGTTTCTGGCCATCCCAAGAGCCCCCTTGCTATCACAAAACAGCGGCGTAGCAACTTTCTGCTCCTGGCCAATCTCCTCTAACAGCCTCCTCAGCCAAATCACCTCCTTCACCCCATGGAACATCGCCATGTACTCTGATTCTACGGAAGAGAGTGCCGTCTCCGTCTGCTTCTTGGACCTCCAACTAACAGGTCCTCCCCCAACTACGCAGATGTATCCTCCCACAGATGAGGAATCCTCCTTCTCAGAAGCCCATGTAGCATCGGTAAAGCAAGTGAGAAATAGCTTGCCTTCTCCAAGCCTCTCCCCCTTCTCTTTCAGCACCTCCACCCCTTTCTGCTTCACCTGTGCAGATGCGGAGTATTGAACTCCAATGCTTGGGTGAGAGTTCAGGTACTTCACCACACGCTCAGCTGCATCCACCTGCTCCTCTGATGGATTCTGCACCACCCTAGCCAGCTGCCCAACCGAGAAAGAGATGTCGGGCCTCGTGTGAACTGCTGCGTACAAGAGGCTGCCCACCAAGGACTGAAATTGCTGCTGCTCTTTAGCTTCAACCCCTTCATCCTCTGCAGCCTTCACAAGCTTGAATTCTGCTGGCAGGGGAGTTGCAACCTTGCGCTCATTCTCAATCCCATACTTCTCCCCCAACTCCTTGATGAACTTCTCCTGGTGCAGCTTCAACCACCTGTGATCTGGATCCCTCTCCACGTGCATCCCGAGGTAGTACTTTACCTCCCCAAGGTTCTTGCACTTGAAGTTTTCCATCAGTTGCTGCTGCACTTTCTGGATCTCCTTCATGCTGCTGCTGAAGAGAAGAATGTCGTCCACATAGACCAGAAACAGCACCAGCTTCTCCCCCTCGCCCTTGAGAAAGAGGCTCTCATCACAGCTGCTGGTCCTGAATCCCATCTCCTCTAAAACAGCTGCCAACTTCTGGTACCAGCAGCGTGGCGCCTGCTTCAAGCCGTAGATGGACTTGTTGAGCTTGCACACCCTGCCCGTACCATCCTCATACCCAGGCGGCTGCGTCATGTACACATCCTCCTCTAAAATCCCATTCAGGAATGCCGTTGAAATATCCATCTGAATGATGAATTTCCCACTAACAGCTGCATCTGCCAACAAGACACGGAGGGTAGGGGGTTTGGCAGTGGGTGCAAAGATCTCGTTGAAGTCCTGCTTCTCCTTCTGCATAAACCCCTTCGCCACCAGCCTACTCTTGTAGATGGTGACCTGCCCCTTGTCATCGGTCTTGATCCTCAGCACCCACTTGCATTGTATCGCTTTCTTCCCATCAGGCAGCACCACCAGATCCCATGTCCTATTCTCCAGCAGACTCTGGTACTCAGCATCCCTAGAAGCCAGCCACTTGTCCCTATCTGGTCCAGCTAATGCCTCCTCCATGCTAGCTGGTTCCTCTGGTGCAGGGGCAAGAAAACAGTACGCAGGCTCATCCTCCTCATCCGGGTCATAGCCATGAGGTAGAATCAGCAATGCCTCTTCGGTCCCTAGCTGCTGCTCTGCTGCATCAGTTCCTGCAGTCAGCTTCTTAGTAGCCATACGGGTACGTCCTGGCCTGGAGACGGGTGTCTCCCATCCCTTCATAACGACACCCTTCGGCTTCTTAGTTTTTCCCTGCTGCTTCTCTCCTCCCTCGGGTCCAGCAGCTCCACTAGTGCTGCCGCCAGTTTCCACACCATTTTCTCCACCAGCAGATGCCTCCTGTACCTTCTCTCCATCACCATTTCCAGCAGCTGCCTCCTCTCCCTCCTCCCACACACTAGGAGTCAGGTCCAGCTGCATGGTGATCTGCTCCATCTGCTGGGACACCCTTGCCTCCGGCTGTTTCTCCCAGCTCCCATACATCATGCCCTCAATGAATTTCACATCCCTGCTGTCAAACAACACACCCTTGGATGGTTCCCACAGCAGCCATCCCTTGCTCTCAGCAGCCAGCCCCAAATGCACACACCAGATTGCACTTGCCCCCAACTTACTGCGGTAGGTCTTGGGGACGTGGGCGACTGCCATGCAACCGAACACCCTCAGCATGTCCACCGGCGGCTTCCTCCCAAGCCACCTCTCCAACGGCACCCACGAGTCATCCCCAACCTTGGTGAGCACCCTGTTCCTAGCGACAGTGGCGTGCCGGACAGCATGAGGCCACATAGAATTGCTCAGCCCAGATTCTATGAGCAGCGCCCTAGCTGTCTCCAGAATGGTCCGGTTTGCCCGTTCTGCTACACCATTGGACTGTGGGGTATAAGCCGTGGTCAGCTCTCTCTGGATGCCCTGCTTCTTGAGCCAGGCCGTCATTTCAGCTCCAAGGAACTCACCACCCCGGTCTGTCCTAATCCGCTTCACTACACACTCCGCCTGCTTCTCCACGAATGGCAGCCAATCGTCCCGTATCGTGGAGGCGGCGTGGTCCTTCTGCTTCAGCGGATACGCCCACATCAGCCTGCTCCAGTCATCCACAATTGTAAGAAAATACCGCTCCCCCTTGTGCCCTTGCACCGGCAGCGGCCCCACCAAGTCCATGTGGACCAGCTCCAAAGGCTTCTTGCTCCTGCCAGCCACACTATGGAAAGGGAAACGGGTGAACTTTGAAAGCAAACAGATTTCACAGTTGTCATCGGGTGGCTGTCCGTTCAGCTTCAGACCCTTAACGGCTCCATCCTTCTCCAGCTGCTTCAGCAAAGGCATTGCCACATGCCCTAAGCGCCGGTGTGCCGTTGCCCAATCTGTCTCCCCAGATCTGGCCGACAC